GAGAGAAAGTTTGTAAATACACTCAATTTTACCCTCAGGCCTCCTGATGTGTGGGTGTAATCTCCATGAAACTCAGAGCAGGGACAGATAAGTGAATATTTTCATTTTATTTGTTACTATAAAACGAGAGTATATCATTGGAAAGTAGGAAAGTAATTGCTAAAAGAAAAAAAATCAAATGGGAGATTCTAGTCTTAGATAAACTGTTTCGTGTCTTGACAAAGATTATAATTAATATTAAATGACAATCTTCGTGAACGCCAACATCAGAAACACACATTCACCTTTTGATTGCACAAAAATATTTCCCGTTATTCTATCTCATTTTAGCCATATCTTCGTCGACTTGACAGGTTGAATGTCGCCAGCCATATTTTCATCTGCGGTTTGTTTGTAACTTGCGACTTGTAAGGCTTTTCGCTGCATTCGATTTTATCTCCCACAATCCTTCACCTTGTCATAAACATATAACGAAATAAATGTTTAAATTATCAAGATATTGTATATATATATATATATATATATATATATATATATATATATATATATATATAATTTTATAGATATTATTTATATATTATATATGCGCGGTATTTATTGGAAAGCACATATCAGTGATAGAGCTAACACATACACCTATATATATGTGTGTGTGTGTGTGTAAAAAAAACTTATCGTCCTCCGAGGGATATTATCAGGCAAATGGAAAGTTTTTATTTTTTAACACGTATTTATGTACAAGAGCAAAAATGTTATTTATTTTTCAAAATCTTTAAATTTACGAATGCTCATAAATATTTATCAGGTTAGCTGAAAAGCCAGGCAAGCTATGGAGGACACAAAGTAAAACAATTTAATGTCTAATAAACGAAAGTGAGTAAGTGTTGTTTTTAAAAAAATGCAAATTAATATTCAAATTATTTTTGCTTGGGATTAATATAGATGTTATATATTTTGAATAAAATGAGGTATTTTTGTAATCATGTATTTAGGCTTGGGAAAGTCGCAACTCTCGGGGTCAGATTTATATTTTGATAATATTCGATAACGACACCCTCGTGAATTTTCCCTTCTAAATTACTTTCTTTTAATAAGTGTGGCATTGTTTTAAAAGTTGTGGCTAAATTTATTTCGATGTATAACTAATACATTTGTAAATTGTTGTTTGTAAGATCCCTTTTGTATTCATAGATACTTTTTATTTCCAAATGTATTTTGAGGAACGCGTCTGGTAATTTATATTATATATGCCTGCTTCAGAATTATTATTGTGGTGGGTATTTTTGGTTCTGTTTATATCCATAATAATTTGCGACGTGGTTGTAATTATTTTGATGTAGCTTAGATTGGATAGATTGTCTTAGATAGTGGATGTTATGGAGTTAGTTTTATTATGTATCGGTTTTTATCTAGTTTATTGTTGTTAATAATGCTATCTTTTTTGTGGTCGTATATTCTGTATGCATTTTCCTCAGTATAAACAATAAGGATACTAGAGGTTTTTGAAAGTGTATTCTAAGTGTATTTCTTCTTCGGGTAAGTATTGGGGGCTGCAAATTCTTAGTGCTCTTAAATAGAGACCTCGAATGGATTTTACCCTGATAAAGCCGCTAAGGGGACGAAACGTGTCGGCTGAGATAAGTTTTCCTTCTTTCTTTCTTTCTTTCTTTCTTTATATATATATATATATATATATATATATATATATAAATAAAAAGAAAGAACAGTAAGATATATAATCCGGTGTTCTTATAGATATTTTTATTTTTACAAAATAGTGCTCAATGTAAATTTACAGAGCATAATATTATAAATTAATGATTTTAGCTGTGTCTTTAAAACCCAGTAATTTTTAAAAGTTACTCCAAAATTTGCTTGAGGATGAAATGGAACTAATGTCTTTAATTTAATTGCAAAATTAAATTCGGGGCTTTTAGCTTCTATTTTTGAAACATGGTTAGAACTGTGTAGCGGGAAAAACATATTTTAAATTAATTAATTTATAATATATATATATATATATATATATATATATATATAGAGAGAGAGAGAGAGAGAGAGAGAGAGAGAGAGAGATAGATAGATAGATAGATAGATAGATAGATAGATAGATAGAAAAATAGATCAAAATGCTTTTCAAAAATGACTGTTTACCTTTCGGGTACGAAATCGAAGCTAGCAGATCTTGTAATGATAGAGGATAGCAGGAGCAGTCAGGTACTTACTGGAGTGGTACAAGGCGCCAGCCGTTTTACCTGCATCCTTTAGCAACGGATCGTATGTACGACTTCAACTTGAGGTCGAGTGTGAGTTTCAGGCCCAACCGTCTTTCATTTGTGTTTATGTACGTGTGTGTGTGTGTGTGTGTGTGTGTGTGTGTGTGTGTGGCTTTTGTTATAAGCATATTTTTGTTCTATTTACATATTAAAACAAACTACACACATCAAATATTTTCCGGAAACTTTTTTTAATTTAATCCGGAAAAAATTACAATTTCATGCAATTGCCAAAGTAATTCGCCGCGCGACCGAAAGTTGTGCGGTTCCTGTTTAATATTTTAATATAAGTTTTTAACGGTTTTATGCATTATTACTTGATCATAGGTGTAATATTGAATAGATATTATGCAACTTCTTTTTGTTAGACAAAGCGGATAATCGAGCACAACTCTGTAACTATGTGCACTGGAAAATAATGCGGTAAATATACGAGTGGACTTCTTTAGTCTATCAACCGTTCTTACATGAAATCACATGGGATACGAACAATTATAAATGAATATAAAAATAAAAATTAAGTTGAAATGAAAAATCTTAATTAAAAAACAATAAAACAGATTATATATAAAGGGTGTTTTATTAAGACGGATTATATATAAGGGTGTTTCATTAAGACGGATTATATACAAAGGTGTTTCATTAAGACGGATCAAAGTCATCCAGTAAATAAATCAGTGTTAGTGGTGAAAAATTATTTATTTCTCTGTCGGATTATGTTATTTAAGTCATGGCAATTATGTCTGAAAAATAATATCGCCCAAATGTCCGCCAAATCTGAAAGAAAAAGAAAAAAATCATTAGAAGCTTAAAATTAATTCACATTTAAAATAGGCGATTGTTACTAGAACGCTCTTTATATAGGGTGCGATGGATAAATTGTCGTCCAAATTACACAAAAATGAATATAACACATTAAGGGGGCAGTCTGGGGAGTTAGGTGTAAGGGGTGATGTGGTCGCAGAAATTGTCTGGCAGCCATGACTGGGTTCTCGTGCTTGGGTGGCATGGGGCAGAGTCTTGTTGCCAGACATAGGGTCTTCCAGCAGTCACCCACTTAACCAAGGACAGTACTACCGCCTCAAGATGAATTATGTCGCCATCACCCAACTCTTTCCGAATCCTCTGCACTGTCCTCAGATTGATACCCAAACACTCTGGTGTGTATGCCAAGCAGTACAGCATGCCCTTTCTCAATTTCTGGCGGAGTGAATTGCGTCATGGTTGCCCTTTTTCTCACAGACGGTGCCCAACTGACGCTACTATACCTTGAAGGCGACAAAATCAAAAACAACGTAAAAATATAAAATGGCGACAATTTACTCATCGCATCGTGTCTCTCTTTCTCTCCCTCTCTCTCTTTATTGTTTTTAAGTTTTTTTAATGAGTGAGTGTGCGTGTATGTATGTCTACGCACGCCAGTAAGTAAACTTGCGTGTATGTATGTCTGCGTACGTATGAATGGAATTCCGACGACAATTTTTCTTCCCAATTCCATAAAAACACCGATATACGCAACCATATATAAATCCAAAATTTAAAAATTAATCAATTTGTCTGACGATCGCAAATAGCGTGAAACCCAGGGTCACAAACTCACATCAATTCAACTAAATATGTTAGCTCTATCACTGATATTGAGCGCTTTCCAATAAGTACCTCGCATATATAATATATAAATAACATATATAAAAATGACATATATATATATATATATATATATATATATATATATATATATATATATACACACACATTTTTCATGCAGTGTTGAATTTTATGTAAAAAAGTTCTGTCTATCTATCTATCTATCTATCTATCTATCTATCTGTATGTGTGTGTGCGTACACTATTCTGTGTCACATTTTATGTCGCCTTAACAATGACATAGACATAAGCGATGTGTCTATCTCTATTTATTCAACTCTTCTTTCATGGTGAACTAGAACTGGAATTTCCTGTTAGTTTATTTTGAAGTAAGAAGTTGATTCTCAATACCAAAGTGTTTCATTGCAAAACAACTTTTCATTTGAAATATTATGTTCAAAGTTCTCTTAAACTGTGATTGGTTCTGGAAGTAAAAACAAATTTAAAATAAAATAGGTTTACATATAGATAGATAGATAGATAGATAGATATAAAGTAGTATAATTAAGTAAAATTATTTTTTTATATAGCAAAGGAACAAGCCTAAGGAGCAATTGTTATCTTTACTTAATTTTTTTTAAATTTAGTTTAATAAGATAGACATTGAATATACATGTGAAAATGCAAAGCATTAAGATTTTGAGATTTTCTCCATAGATTACTTTAATATTGACATTGCTTCTTACGTAATGATATTATTATTAATATTAATTATAATAATAATAATATAATTCTGTCTGTTCCTTACTCCCTTAGTTTGCACATACGTTACGCCCTGCGAATACCTCATAAATAATGATCACGAGGAAAGTCAGATGTCAGAGACGTTGTTGGGTTTTAGTAATTAAGGAAGAAAGAGTAAGAAAGAAAGCGAAACCAAGAAAGAAGAAAAAGGAAAGAAGCGAAAGAAAGAGAAACAAAGAACGTGAAACAAAGAAAGAGAAGAAAAAAAGAAACTAAAGAAAATGAAACAAAGCAAAAGAAAGAAAAAGTAAAAAAATAAAATTACAAGAAAGAAAGAAAGAAAAAAAGAAAGAAGGAAAGAATGAAAGATGAAAACGGATATATCGTGAGATTTCATAAGAAAAAATAAAAAATATGCTGATATAAAAATGTGAACGGAAAATAAAGAAAGAATATGAGGAAGGCAATGAAAGGAAAACCGAAAAGGACAAGAAAGAAAGAAAGAAAGAAAGAAAGAAAGAAAGAAAATATGATATATAAGAAAAAGAATAAAGATGGTAATAAGGAAATATGATCTGTAAAAAAAGAATATGAGAAAGTCAATGAAATGGGTAATGGAAGAAAAGAGCGAAAAGAAAGAAAGAAAGAAAGAAAGAAAGAAAGGAAGGAAGAAAGAAAGAAAGAAAGAAAGAAAGAAAGAAAGAAAGGGAAACAAAGAGAAAGAAAAAGATACAGGAAAGTCGTAAAATTTTCACGTGAACCACTAGTGATATTTTTAAATTATTAATAAATTGAATCAACTCCTTTTGGTTTTCATGACATAAGCGAGCGTAATTGATAGTAATCGGAAGTTTTTTTGTTTTTTTTTTCAAAACGTCCCTAAACATGAATACAAAGAAATAAATAAAAAGCTTTCTTGTTTCGATTTCATCATGTTGGATCGATTGACAATGAATTTCTATTGCACCAACTTTAACTCGTGAACTACTAAACCGAAAATATTGATCTTTCTACGATTTTACACATCTGGACACGAATTAACGTAATCCGCGATTATTTTGTCTAATGAAAAATTTCTTTAAACCCCTACTCTCGGCCTACTTGTTCTTCATATACGATCTACGTCGATTGTTTGTACACTAGAAATACCGTGTCTAACGAAATAATATGATTCTAATTAATTAGGACGTGTATCTTTGTTTCATAGACTATGCAAAGGCAGTGTACGCCACAAGGATCTGCTGGAACTGCTCAGCAACCAATGATATATTCGGGAAAGATATCAGAATAATCAAGAACCTATACTGGCAGCAAACAGCATGCATGCGCATAGGGAACCAGTTCAGCGAATATACAAAAATAGAAAGAGGCGTAAGGCAAGGATGCGTTTTCTCACCGGACTTATTCAACCTATACAGCGAGGCAATTCTGAGAGAAATGGAATCCCTACCGGGATTTGGCATTGGCTGCCACAATCTTACAAACATAAGATACGCAGATGACACAGTACTGATAGCAGACCCGGAAAAGAAATTACAAAATCTCCTATAGAGAATATGAAGAAGAGACTAAGCATAAACTACAAGAAAATAGAATGCATGGTCATCAGTCAAAGGATGGGCCCGAAATGCGATTTGCAGGTCGGGAACACTAGAATCAAGCAGACGCGGAAGTTTAAATATCTGGGAAGCGTCTTGACAGAGGACGGTAAGTGCGACACTGAGTTCCTTGGGATGACCAAGGACGCATTCCAAAAGCTGGGCAGAGTATTGCGAGACAGGAGGATTTTTATGGTAACGAATAAAAGAATACTGAGCTGTTACGTGATATCTGTCCTTCTTTACGACACCGAATGTTGGACGATTTCCTTAAAGATGAAGAAGAGACACGAGGCGACGGAGATGTGGTTCTACAGAAGGATGCTAAGGATATCATGGACTGAGCGTGTGAGTAACGATGAAGTCTTAGAGAGGATGCAAACTAGGCTTATATTTAACACCAGGAAGAGGCAGCTGAAGTTCCTGGGACACATAATGAGGATGGAGGGTCTAGAGAGTCTGATAATCACGGGTCGAATAGAGGAGAAGAGAGACAAGGGAAAACAGCGTATGACATGCCCAGCGACCTTAAGCAAGTGGGTGACAGGTGGTCTGGAGGAGGAAGCAGAGGGAATGAACTTGTTGAGGGCTAGAGGGAAAGGACACAGCAAATAGAAAAAGAATTACTTCGTCCTGTAACCGCATTAGGGTAACAGTCAAGCTTGCTTAGTCCTGCATGTATAAAGTCATTCATAGACCTGGGCGCGTAGGACTGGAGTTTATCTCCGCATCCTGCTAGCAGATTACACCATTGGTGTCGCAACTTTTACTCTTGTTTCTCTTTAAATATTAACGAAGCTGTTTCGAATTCCAATATTTTGCTTATGTTCTCATCTGACCTAAGCATGTGTTCATCTGTATGTATTATGGGTCAGCATTAGAAATTATTTATTCGTGATCAGCCTGATCGCATCCCATGTTTCTGAGATCATGTATAAATATAATGTCATTTCGTTTCATTGGCTTCACTCATATTCTAAAAATGATTGTAAGTTGTTAAAATCTTTACTAATGCAACAATTGGAATAAAACTAGATGCATCGCAAAAAATATAATTTTTATTGCCGTCTATATTGCACACATACATTTCCAGATTACACTAGAACCATACTTCAATAGAAAAAAAAATGATGATAATAATTAAGTAATTGTAATATTACCTTTTGTGTCTGGAGAATATATATAATTTATATTTATTACATTTTATGGGAAATTATTATTATTATTATTATTATTATTATTATGAAAAACTACAACAATCGTTCTTCAAACATCTGGAAAGTACAGAAGACTGGATGGGGATCTGCGTCAAAGAACATGAAAGAAATAAGAGACTGTATTCAGTAATAAAGGAAGCCAACAAATTCAAATTGGAATTTCAAGTTGTTGACGAAGTGCAAGTAAACACCTACTGCAGCGGCCATGAACCTAAAAAAAAAACAAAGAAAGAAAGAAATTACAAATGCAATGAACAAATGCAAAAACAATGACAAGATAAGCCACTTCATGGTCAATATTCTGCCCGTGCCAAACAAAAGCCGATGTAGACAAACCCCGTGCCCATTAGTGGTTAGTGCAGGATTCAAAGTTGAAATCGAAAATTTTATTCTTGGGGCAAAAGAACAATGCTTGCTAATTAGAAATTACCAAGTACCCATCCTGGAAAATTGTGTAAACCCAAAATGCAGATTAGGAAACAATATCCAGAAACAATTGACTATCTTGTATCAGGTTGCACGGGATTAGCACCGACTGAGTATAAAACTCGATATTACAGAGTGAGCCAATATCTTTACAGGAAAATATGCAACTTTTACGATAAGGAAACTGCAAGTAATTGGTATGAACATCACTCAGATCCGGTTACAGAGAAAACACCTTTAACAATTTGATGGGACTTTACAATATACACAGACAGAACAATCAAAACTAATCGCCCAGACACCGTGATCAAAGACCACAAAAACGGAATGTACTTTCTTATTGACATGTCCCTGGAGATTGTAAAGTATCTTTGAATATCAAAAGACTTTTAAAATACAAGGATCTTGAAGTGGAAATCTCAAACATGTCGCACATGAGGACATCAATAATTCCACTTTTGACTTGGGCCTTCGGATTGATTGGAAAAGGTTCCGATAGTCTCATTGAAACCCTCGGATTGATTGGAAAAGGTTCCAATAGACTGATTGAAGGGATTCCTAGTAGCCCATGCTTTAAAGAAATTTAAAAAAATGTACTCACAAGTACAGCTCACACATTATGAAGAGCTTGATCTATGTAAAATGAGCGGGATTGTAGTTGTTTTATGGGGTTTTGTTTTTTGGCAAAAATGAAGCCATTTTTAACCTCAGGTCACTGGTTGAGACCGGAAAGGAAATAACGGAAATCAAAGGAAATAATAATAATAATAATAATAATAATAATAATAATAATAATAATAATAAAAACAAGAATTCAGGGAAGAGTGACGACTATTTTCTTGATAAAGGCGTTTATTTCTTGTGAATTATGCACGTTATCTTCTTTTTCTCCCCCAAATTGACATTACTTTAAGAACAAAGAAATATGATTTTACATATAAAAGACACTAGAAACATAAATAGCTATTTCTTTATTGAAAGTGTTTAGCGTGCTTTACTTCAAAATATGATTAAAACGTAAATACTTTTATTCAAAACTTAAATTCTTTTGTTCATAAGCATTTTTTCAAAAGTATTGTTGTTCCTACATTGAAAACATTTATTCAAATGTCAAGAATTTTATGAAGGAATACCGACACGTTCGTCTGTATTTTTTTAGTGGATAGCCGTGTTTGAGTAGACGCTCCGTGCAGGCCAATAGACGAAAATAAAATACTGTTTAAAATAATCGGATTGTCTAGTCAAATACGGTATCTACTAAAAAATAACCTTTAATGTAATAAAAATGTGTCTGATCAAAAAAAAAAAAAAAAACTCCATTAAATCTTATATACCGGATGTAACAGCAAACTTGCCCAAATCGCGCAACAGCAAAATTGTCCAATTGTTAGATTAAGCTTTGAACCCTTGTATCTTAGAAATGATTAAAGATATCTTACTGGAATTCTCCCAGGTTTTTATAACATTATTGTACTCTACTACTCTACTCTGAACAATAATAATGTATTTAGCTCTAAGTTGAAATGATGATGCCTCTTGCTTTTTGACCTCCTGATCCAGTTTTTCTCTCTACTGTTCACTCATTTTAAAACGTATTCACCGTTCTCTTGATGGATTTTGAATTGACTTTGAAGATAGAAGCTAGAATATGAATGTTGGTACCATTAGTGAAGGCCTGAATAATCTTTTCCCTCTCACCATTGCTCAGTTGAGAAGACATAGTGGGGCTGACACAAAACGATTTTAACCTGTCCTCTTTTTATTTGAATAACTCAAAAGGGTTTTTGTCAATTATTCTTACAACAAATGGTGTAAAGATGGTTAAATTTTTGGAACTGGTCTGCTTGAGCCTCATACGTCGAATATCGACGGGAGAGAGTCGACTATATATATATATATATATATATATATATATATATATATATATATATATATATATATATATATATATATATAGATACGTTCCCATAGACTATTTATTCTCTCTCTCTACTATTTCTATTTCTCTCTCTCTCTCTCTCTCTCTCTCTCTCTGAGAAGTAGTCGATAAAATTTTCCGGTTATCAATACAGACCGTACGTGTTTTCCTATTTAACACAAGAAAACAAAAAAGAAAAACCGGCAAAATTTAGATTTGTCAAAAGGACGGTTTTCCCTTGACGCCGCTATTATTTTGTATTACCTTCACTTTTCCAAGAATTTCCTATACGTTTAAAAGCAACGAACATAATTTTAATAGAATCCAAACATATGAAAATTAACTTATTCATTTTATTTGTTCTTCGAGAATTTACGAAAAAGAAAAATTATTTATTAGATTTCTTCTTACAAGAATAGTTTTATATTGAAAACATTCCGAAAAAAGCGAACCAGCTAATTTTATTTTATTTATTCATAAATTTATAAAAATTTACAAAATCTTAAAAATGTGTGAATCAACTATAATTAAATCTTTATTATTTACCATTTTATAAAGTTGGAATCGATTGTCAATTCACCAATGTGTTGTCAATCATACCAAA